TTTGTACCCAAAAGCTTGCAAAGAACAATTTTTCCAACTATTTAGTTGGTCTAATAAAAGATATCATTCACCCAAAGACCCTTGTCTGCCTATGTCCTTAGACCAACACAGCTACAACCAACAACCCAGTTTCTAAGGTAGCACCCAACACAGGACAACGGGATTTCTAGGCAAGGAAGTGACTATTTATCCACTTCACACACTCAAGGAAAATTTTTTTTTTTTTAAGGCTACTCCAAAGCAATGGCTTCTAGTAGACTGAAACCCCATACATAACAGATGTTTGCAGGCTGGAACATAAAACATACCTGTGCATCTAACTCACTTTTGGTCTGCTTTTTATGATGCAACTGTGAATTGTGCTTATCTTTTTGTAATTAAAGGGTGGAACAGATGGTGAAGATTTAAAGTGGTGCATTCATTAAATTAACTTAAAGTATGTTTATATGTTAATTGTATATAATGGGAGTTTTGCTTCAGTGAAACAGAACTGGAAAGAGTCTCAACCTCGGGGATTGCTTACTATACGAGATGCTTCACTGTGAAAAGATTCCACTCTATGTCACTGAGTCAGACTCTGAATATGTGCCAAATACCGATCATATGACCAGCTTAATGGAAGAAGGGCATTTCTTCATGCCAGTATGTATCTATCACATTGCCTCATAGATCAAATTCCCTCATAGATCTGTGGCTTTTCTGTAGAATAAAGGGAAAACCATGGCATCTGACTGAATATTTTAAAAAGCAAATGAGGGAGCTGTTGTAGAATTGAAACCAAGTATAAATGAACTTTTGATGCTTATAATTAAAATAATCATTACCAGTAACAAAGTTTTCTCCTAAAAGCAGGGACACCTGCAGCCTTGAGATTCAAGTAGGAAGGAACCCAGTTTGAACAGGCCAAATTCTGATACTGATGAAGTCAGTGGATATTTTTCCAGCAGTTAAGTTGGGACCAGTATCAGGCAAGTAATCTGCAAAGAATTCCCCACTGGCTAATCCATAGAGGTGTAAGTAGCTGAGATCCAGATGGGCTCATTCACCCCCAAACTCCTTTCCCTGCTTGCAGGCAAACGCCAGACCCTCCACTAAGGGGGTTAATAATAAACAAGGGGTATAGAAAAAATATTTCCTGAAGACATTTGAAAATGCTACATGATAATTTTAGAGAATTCATTTTAAAATGCTAATTTTGAAGGGCTCAACACTGGAATGTTAAAACTTTAATCACAGGATAAACTCTCTGAAAACGTTCTTGTAAGGGGCAGGCTCGTCACAATGCCCCATGAGGAAGCTGGGAGATGTAAACTTTCTCCAGGTTTATAGAAGCTGCTTACTGAAAGGTTACCATCTTCGACTGCTCATTTGAATTTTACAGGCCTTTTAAGTTGCACCTAACTCGAACGGAGTTTCAGTTTGTACAGCTCACAGAGGAAGACAGTGGAAAGCAAAGTAATATATTCCACAAATAGCAGTGGGACTGTGTTAAGTATTCCTGGATGTCAGGAAGTGCTTTTCTTTAAATTAGAAACTTGTCTGCATTAAACATTTTGGGGGGACTGAATGCTTCTATTGAAAAAGCCTTGAGCGAGGTTTTGGCAAGTAATTCACAATAATGAATCTATGCCCAGCTCCAGCTGTAGATGCATAATACCCATCTCCCAAGCAACTCATCCACAAGTGGCATAGCTTTGATCTGCATTTATCTGCATACAAAGGAAACTACTCCCATATGCAGTCTTTAGGATGGATGAGCTCATGAAAAATGGCACCAGAAAGCACACAAAAGACCCAGAAGTGCAAATTTATCCCTGGCATAATTTTTATCCCAGTGAAAAAACATTACAGATTAATTTATCCCAGTGATTAATGAGAAAAGGAATGAAAGCGCTAGCCACACCATCCGCCTTTTAATTATATTTCTTTTTAACTCATTGTAATATCACTATTTCATAGATTTCATAGACATTTGGGCTGGAAGGGACCTTGGAAGATCATTGAATCCAGCCCTCTGCCCAAAGGGCAGGAAGTCAGGTGGGGTCATAGGATCCCAGCAAGATAAGCATGCAATTTGCTCTTGCATTGTGTTCTGTAGAAACAAGTGAAAGGACTGTGAATCAAACTAATCTCTGCTGACCTCAAAAAATTGTTTCAATTTTTAATAATGCTGTTTTTATCTGTCTGGTTTATGTGGAGAATAAGAAAACATTTTATTAGTATGTACTTCTTATTTGTTATCTGGTCCCCAAGGTTCCCAGATCAACATATAAACATGCACAAAGTTTCACAACGCTGTGGTAATGCAGGAGAAGTGGGTCGCAGGGAAGTGAAAATCTGCTGAACATCTCACGTACCATCTGCGGCACAAAATAGAGGCAGTAAGATTTAGTGGATAGAGCCTGCAGCTGAGTCAGGCCTGACATCGTCTTACTGGCCCTGACACTACTGCTGCAGGATGTTGGGCAAATCTCTTCATCTGTGCCTTCATCTCCCTCCTTGGCCAGTTAGGCATTTCATCTGTACAACACAGAATAAATGGTGCTGATTGAAGCCTCTGTGTGCCACTAAACACAAATAAGTAACCCTGTTTTGTGCTTTTACCACTACACTGTGCTGTCCCTGCTTGTAATCCAAGGGTCCTCCTTTTCAGATAAATGTTCACAAAATATAGATGTTGTTACTAAATAGAGTTTCTCATGTGGCATCAGATGCACTTTAAATTCCAAAACAAAATCAGTCTATAGGATAACTAGCAGCTGTATGCCAGTGACTCACGGGAAGCTCCCAGTTCTGAATTTTGAGTGGATATTTGTATTCTGATGTAATTGTCTCATCACAACCTGCAGGAGCTCTGCATGAAATAGCACAAAGAACACAGCTACCCATCCTGTGGTTTCTGAGCCAAGAAGCCCAAAATACTTGCATTAGAAAAATGACTATTTTGTTAGAGCTGTTGTTTCATTTTTGGAACATACTCTTCCTTTGTGAAAGTTCATAGGTTGCAGAAGATTCACATTTGAAAAATACAATTCTAGTTACCAGATCCTCAAGGAAAAGCAATACAGGAAAGGAAGCGTGTCCCACTGTTATTCAGAATATCAGATTTCAAGGTAATTCCTGTCTAGCATGGTGCAGTTCTTGGATTTTTAACTGCCAGATTTTGATACTGGAATCTTTTATGGTTCTGCCCTATGCAACACCATATGTAGAGATTAACACCATAATGCTCATCCTTCTTCAGAAACAAATAGGGAAGGAAGAAGTAAAAATGTAACACCTTTCAGAATACAGCCTCTAATTTCTTGTTAAGTCTCTCTCAAAGAGATCATTATTTGTAATTCTGTGAGTTGGAACGTGCTGGTAGCTATGACAATAAACGTAATAAATGCTCTTGAACAGGGTGGTTACTTTTGTATTACTCACACAGTCCTTTTCTCAACCGTACATTTTTGCCTTGAGGGATGTTCCTGCCTCTCTCCATGACGTCTAACAGCATTGTTGTTATACTGGTTAGCTCTGTAGGGCGGAGGTAGGTAGAAACTATATACGCAGATACCAATAACTTAATTTCTTGAGGCCAAAATTTCTTAAGACACAAGCTCACAGGTTATAGTCATTATCACATCTTCTTATAGTCATTATCAGGTCCTGTCAAAATACTATATTTAACAGAAAGGGGCAAACTGAACACTATTCCAGATGAGCCCAAACATTAACCCTCTGTGGGAAAGCTGTTTTCAAATAATGCCTATTACATAGTGCTTTTCCTCACTAGGTTTCAGCTGGCTTTACAGAGGTTTGTTTGTTATTTCAAGGTGGGGAATCAGATCTGAAATGGCAAAGTGAATTGGTCAAGATCATCCAACAGGCCAGTAGCAGGGCCAGGCATCAAACTTGGATATCCTGTCTAGTACAGCGACAGGAACTAGAAAATCTTTGATTTCTTGTTCTTAAAACATGCACTAATTCCTTTTTTCTCCAAAGACCATGTTTTGGAGCCTCATAGCTGCCACTTTTTCCTCTGAAGATCTTCAAAGTATGTTATGCTGATGTCAGTGATATAATGATGCACCCAGGCACCCAAGGCACAGGGGCTGTGGTGACTTAACATTTGCCACCAGCACGGTCACACAGCTGTCAGTTTTTTTGCCGTCCCCCTCCCCCCAAGTCAGTGCCCAGGGTGGTTGCCTGGTCGCCCCACCCTAGTTGTACCACTAGTTGATGCTCCCCCAATCTTCTCTAGTGGTGTTAGGTATCATAAATCTACTGCTTTGGTCCCCTTTTCTAAGACAGTTTCTTCTAGATTTGGCAGCAACTATCACTCCAATCACTATGAATTCTGTCCCCCAAAATGCATTTTGGGGCCTGGATAGGCAGTGCCCTGGGAAAGGTCTTGCATCTAAATAATCCAAATCCAAAACTCAGCACAGTCTCTGGCTCCTGCCCTTCCTATGCAAGCCCTGCATATGGGAATGTCAGGGTTCAATGCTGGAGGGCAGTGGATCACCCTGCACACACAAGATAGGAATTCCAAAGATGCTGGCTACACCTTAGTGATGTCACTACACATCTGCCTAAAATAAATCTGCTTTGGGCAACAGATTGTGAAATTTATCTGCACTTGTGTAAAGATGTATACCAAAGCTGAGATAACCCACAAAAGCATCTGTTTCTTACTGTTGTATCAAGCACATTCTCTGCACTTAAATTTGCCAAGACCTCACAACAGTTAGGGTCTCACTGTTGCTTAACAGACTTACAGCAAGTCACAAGGTAATACAATGAGGTTGAATGGGCCTTGATGCATTTACATTTTTGTTTAATAGGTTAAAGGCAAACAATACTCATTAACCCAATTTTGATTGTTTCCTCAAAATCTACTTTTTAAAAATATTACTGCTTGTCAATTTTCAGCAGTCATTATATTAAATAGCCATATAATCATATAGACACTTTTAATAAACATCCCATACATAACCAAAGTTGACTCTACTTTCCTTGTTTGGTTTCTTTTCACTAAATATTTTATTGCCAAGTTTTCTTTTTTACTTGTCTCCTATGCGGTATAAAGACAAGGAAAATTAGGGACCTTATAAGGTGGTTTCATCTCCCAACACATACTGGAGGAAGGGCATCCCAGAAAGCATTTGCTGGTTCAGTATTTACAGATTTTAGATGCTGAAGCTACTGATTTGCATGGACAGTATGAGGAAGTCTGAAGTCCTCCTGTTTATTGTAGTCTTAACAGTTTGGGAGAAAGACAAAAGCAAGGAATAAAAGGTAACCCTGTATTCAGCCAGGTAGTGATGATCTAACAGCTTTCCTAGTGGCTCCAGTGACCTGGAAAATACAAATTAAAGTAGGTTAATGGGAGACTTTGAAATGCATAATAAGAAATAAGAAGTAGGGCAGCAAGAACCAGGTTGTGATTCCTAATTCCTGTAATATCCAGAGCTGTTTCATAAAAGGATTCCAGCTCTCAGCCTTCATGCTCTCCTCCAATCTAGACGGCTGAGTTCTACTTGTCTTACCAAATTAGCTGCACAAATGAAATTTTGAAATATTCGTAGGCATCTAGCAATACAACAACTTATTATAAGAAATCTAAGGGTCAACAGATAAACCTAATTAGTACTATGTTGAGGTGAATGGAGCAGGCCCTATGTAGACAAATTTTCCATCAGCTTCAAATTAAGGTTGTGGGGGTGGCCGTATAATTTCTTTCTGCTATTTATTTTTCCTGCTCCTGCTTCCTTCTGCCCCCTTCACATGTAATTTACACTCAGTTTGCACACCCACCAAATGCCAAATTGATTCAAATTGCCCAGCACCTCTTGCACCCACTTGTACATGATGTGAAATTTGTTTACATGCTGCTGAAGATGACCACAGTAACAAAAGCAGGACTGGCAAAGGAAATAGCAGCTATTTTTAGGCTATTATCATCTGTTCGTCTTGCCTTGGTCTCTTGAAGCAGACTTTGCACAGATGCACACTACTGTTGTCAAACCTGCAGTATCATGCAAATTCCTCAGACATATCTAGACTGATTCCATTAATCCATGGGTTAAGTCCATTCAGATATGCATATAGCAGAAACAAAGTTAAAATACTATCAGGATTCTAATGTTTCTTTTATATACCAAAAGACCAGATTCATTTTATGAACTATTAGTTTGACACCTATTTGACTAAAGCGAAGGTTTATAATAATGTTTCAAAACATTAGCAGTGTATGAACTGAGCCAGACTTATTATTCTTTCTAAGAATTACACGCTTAAAGAAATATTTCTTAAAAATGCTTTCTTGTCTGGAAGCTTACATGTTAGTTCAGCTTAGGTGAATTTTATGGTTCACTACAATATAAAGGTTCGTAATAGACAGGTTACTAACTATAGCATTCCCTGCAGATACTGTAATAGTACTGCTGAAACTAGTACTTGGTTGTACTCTATGTAGTTGCAGGAAAAATAACCTCTCTCTCTTTTTAACATTAGTCTTATTTTCATTAAAAGTTTCCTAGCCCTTTTCCATTAGGGAACATATGTCGCCAGGTAACAGCATCCTGTAGAAAGCTGCTGATTTTCCCTTAAAATAATTTATCAATGCTATGACCAACATATTATAAAAATCTCCAGGGAAGAATATATGTACACTTATGAAATGTGTAAAATCATAGTATTGTATGAAAGGTTCATAGAAAAGCAGATATTTACTAGACAATGGTTTTGCTGTCTCTCAAAACACATGCTGATAGACTGCTTATTCTAAATTTGGCAGATTGGTTTTATTTTCATTTCATATATTTCCTGTATTCTAAAAACAAAACTGAAAATTAGAGGACTGGCTACAGATTCTTTGTCCAGCTACCTTCATATGAACACAATTTCCCTGCACAAAGTGCTTAGAGTTTTTGCAAGGCAGTGTGATCTGCTACAAGATACACTGTGTCAGGTTTAAAGTTGATGCTTTTAACCATTATCAAAAACTTTCTCCACTAGCATGAATTGAATAGCTATAGAGACTGCACCCAGCTTGAAGGCCGCCAGTTGAACAGTGACATTATATGCAATATATTGTTTTCAATGAGATCTTGATTTTAGTTTATATCCAGTTGCAACTACAGTGACTGATAGAAAAGAAAAAGAAAGGAATTGTCCTCATACTTGTGCAGTGAGTCAAGAGCCCTGTCTACTTGACCTCCCAACTAAGTAAACAATATTAATTTACCTCTTGCTTTTCTGGATTCTGATCCACATTTAGTAAAGATGGTATTTTAGATACTTCAGATTTTCTTGATTCCTTCTTCCACACTTTTACCTGTTTAACTTTTACAGACAGATACCTAATCATTTCCAGGCTTCATATTTTTAACTTCCCATGTGCTCCTTCACTTTCTTCTGTGCTTAATTCAATTACTTTGGAAACAACAATGAACCCAAACACATAGTCATACTGAAGATTCAGTGTGAGAATAAAAGGGAGGCAGCATGCCAAAGAATATTACGCTGCTGGACTGAATATGAGCATTTTAATTCAGGTTCTGACTGATTTAATTAAACCTAGATGCAAGACCTGTTGCCAAGGCTTTGCATTTGGCTACACACCTGCTACTGGTCAAACCTGTCTCAAGAAAACATGGTAAAACCACTAAGGAAGACTCAATTGTCTGGCATCTCACACACCCAGAAATACAAAAAAATGAAATGACTGCTCACAAAAAAAATCCAAACTATTTTTATACTTGTTTAGTATGTCAAAAACACATTATCATTTTAAATGGATATTCTAATTTTGATCCAAAATTTTGGGAATTGAGGAATATTACTGCGATCTAAAGATCACATCAGTGCACAATCTTATGAGGTGCATTTTTTTCTCAGCATTTTCTACCCAAATTACATACTACTGGTATTTAGTTGTCAGTTAACTAACTCATATCTTCAGCTAGCACTTGCTGCAGTTTTACAAAATCAAAAAACAGTCATAGTGTCATACCTTCCATTCCTTTGAGATCCTTTTGCTGTGGTGTTATTGGCAGCTCTGGGAAGTGAAAGTCTCTTTTCTCAGATTTAGAAATATTACGTTTCTTTCGGTATGTGTTGACTATTGTATCAGTCTGAGAAGCTGGATCATATAGCGTGACATTTTCTATTGGAGTCTAAATAGAAAAACCACAAGATGCCCAAGGATAGATGTAGCATGGCCATTACTTACCATTATCTTACGATTTTCAAGAGGTTAGTGCCTGCTAAACAGGCCAAAATAAATTAAAATGTCAAAGTCCAAATTCAATAAAAATCTAAAAAGATCTTCACACACTACACACACCGTAGCTGCCAGGTAGAGGGGGCACACGGGGACATATGCCCCCCCTAAAATTGGCTGCCACTGATGCCCGCGTTGCCATCTGTGGGCAGTTGCTACCCACCACCCTCTGCTTGCCACCAACGCACCCCTGCTGCTGACACCGCTGCCAAATGACTGTGGGCAGTTGCTGTGCCCCCCCAGCCTCAGGAGGCGTGCATGGCTTCATGACACGGTACCAGCTATGAAAGTTCATCTTTCAAAAAAGATGTGGCATACTGTGTCTCTTGCTTCTCTGCAAACAGTGGTATTAAAAAACAACAGCACTAGTCACCTAGTACTGTTTCACCAACTTGTGACTTAAAGATGAAGAAAGGAAAGACTCAAGAATGTACTTTTCATGCCAAAAAGTGGAGCTGTCAGAATTAAGGTCTTTTATACTAACTAGATAAAGCTTATTATAGAGAAAACAATACTAGTGAAAGAGATGGAAGTGTATAACTTTCATAAAAATTGGGTAAAATCTTAGCTCCCTTGAAGTTAAGAGCAAAACACCCATTAATGTTAATATATCCACCCACTATCCAGTTTCTTTGCCTTGCTGTGTAGAGTCATCCCAACACCTGGGAAGTCTCCAGAAACCACCTGGCTTGTCCTTAAATAAGTCATCACTGTAATATTTTAATGACATTACAGCACGTCCACAGTAGGAATGTGAAAGGTTAAATGATTAATTGTTTAATTGATAAGGCCAGTGATGGCAAGCTAGTTTACCAGTTATTGTTTAGTGTAGGGCAGGGCAGAGCCTGGCAGGGAAGAGATGTGGCAGCTGAG